GTTTGCATTTTGTTTTTACCAGCGCACCGCCCCCCACCGGAATAGAGTTCATCCATACTACCTGGAGCCACTGCGTTCATCCACATTGCGCTTCCAGAGATCTTTTTTGCCACGTACCATCCGGCCTTGGAATAAGCTCCCTTCCATGGTTTTTCCCGAACGCTATGACATATCCTTCTTCAAACGAGGCTTGTTGAGAGTATTTAACGGTAGGCAGCGGCTTGGCTCTGCCCCTAGCATTGCTGAAGTTTATGGGCGACGGGAACCACTCAGCATCAGGTGGGCCGCATGCTTGTTTGCCTAGACGGGCAAAAAAATTTACCAAAATCTTGACTATTTGTGCCGTGAAGCAGTAATCCGTTTCGGGTTGAAGAGTTGAATGGGCCAGCCGTTGTACTGTAAAAATGGAAACTTAGAACTCATGTCTCAAGTTGGGTGCCGGTATTTACTTTTTTGATATCTATGAAATCTATCTTGTAGCTGAAGTCGGTCATATCAAAAAAAAAAAAATTACATCGCTATCAGTTTGAGTGGAACATTTGCTTTCGTTTGCCGCTAGGGGTGCTGTTCCGCCACACATATCTAATTTACGTGTAGGTATTATCTATGACACAGATGGCCGTGTGTGATTAGTTCCCAGTTATTTAATATTTATTTACGATTCTTATTAACAAAAGTCAATTTAACTATAAAATATACTAATTAGATACTTTTTTATATAATTTAATAACTATATTTCATTATCAATCATTAATAATATATGTATGTGATTATATGTATTTCAAACGATACAACTTTTTTTTTCCTGCCTATGCTAATAGCCTTGAGAGGCTATATCAGCTTCACCTTAACGTGTAACGAGCTCACGGGGCTCAAACCGGAGTGGTGCTAACACTGACCCTAGTAAGAGCCAGTGCTTCGCAGAATCTACCACCGGATCGGAAACGCGACCCACTGAGAAGATCCGGTGAGAAACTCAGTGGGCTGTGTCTATGGGTTAATTAGCTCGGTTAAAAGAACGGTGACCGGATAATACAACGTTACGAAAACGATACTATTGTGTATGTACAGAAGAAGAAGAAGAAGAAGAAGAAAATCTTTATTCGCCAGAAATATAGTTTACAAGTATTATGGATATAGGACATAGTTTCATATATTTCGCCTGTTTAGGCATGCGAAAATTTAACTTATTTTTATATTAATTCTAACACAAAATTTAACTAAATCTATCTATTTTTACATTCTATCACTTCTTATTCTAATATTTTATTATGTACAACACTTATCATTTAAAAATTCTTGCACACTATAATAAGCCTTATCTATTAGCCATAAATATAATTTTCTTTTAAATTGAGTTAAAGTGAGAAACGCTACTTGTGTGTATGCAGTGTAACGATGCATGCGGCATATTTCCTTCCTTATGCAACATGTTAAATTAACCGTAAATAGATTTATTACTATGATTTATTAACGACGAAACGAGGACGAAATCAAAAACGTGTTTAGTATTTTCTTTTTAGGACGGTACGGCATTCTTAATTTTATGAAATCGGCATCAGTGTGCTTAATGCGAGTTTTTTAACGTACCCGATCGCGTTTAATTCAAATTTGTATGGAGCTGTGAGGAGGCAGTCTCCTCCCGGTGATGGTGATGGTGATGGGACGACGCGTCGGCGGCTGCGGCCTGCGATGCGGTCCACATTGTCGCTGTCGTCGCCTAACATACTGTGGAAGAGCAACCCAGTCGGTGGTTTTTTTTTTGCTTTCATAGTTGGACGAGCTCACAGCACACCTGGTGTTAAGTGGTTAATGGAGCCCATAGACATCTACAACGTAAATGTGCCACCCACCTTGAGATATAAGTTCCAAGTTCTCAAGTATAGTTAAAACGGCTGCCCCACCCTTCAAACCGAAACGCGGATTCGGATCCCGCTAGCGGGTACCAATTTTTCTAATGAAATACGTACTTAACAAATGTTCACGATTGACTTCCACGGGTATCGTGTAATAAAAATCAAACCCGCAAAATTATAATTTGCGTAATTACTGGTGGTAGGACCTCTTGTAAGTCCGCACGGGTAGGTACCACCACCCTGCCTATTTCTGCCGTGAAGCAATAATGCGTTTCGGTTTGATGATAAATTAAGATTCTAGAAGAATCTAGGATCTCAATTCTAGATGATTAAGCCATAAATATACCATAATACCGATAAATATTATTCGTATAAGGAAATTTGTCACAAGTACATTACTTTAACTCGTGTGGGCTACACAGTTCGCTCTATCTATCGATTCTTACGCCCAAGACTCAGAGTAAGCGCAGCGACTTCAATTGAAAGTAATTTGATTCATAACAAAATTATAACACACTTTCTTTTAAAAGCGCGTTATGTTAAAGCAGTGATTCTCAACCTTTTTATCGCGGCCCAGAGACTTCAAAATTTGATGGCACACAAAGATAAAGATTTTAGAAGTTGATGATTACAAAACTATAAAAAATTGAAAAGTATATAAGAATATAAGTGGTAACATCTCTTGTGAGTCCGCGCGGGTAGGTACAACTACCCTGCCTATTTCTGCCGTGAAGCAGTAATGCGTTTCGGTTTGAAGGCTGGGATAGCCGTTGTAACTATACTGAGACCATAGAATTCATATCTCAAGGTGGGTGACGGCAATTACGTTGTAGATGTCTATGGGCTCCGGTAACCACTTAACACCAGGTGGGCTGTGTGCTTGTTTACCCATCTAAACAATAAAAAAAATTTAGAATATGCAATATATTTTATGATTTGATTTATGTTTTAAATTGTACGTTTGTTAAGAGAATAATTAGAAGTTAGTAATAAGAAAACTTTTATCTTAGAAATCTTTTAGAATATCTTTCTAGAATCTTTTAGAAATATCTACATAATATAATTAACCAAACATTTCTAAAATTTAATAGCACACTAAGAATATTGTGATATACAAAAATTCCGCGGCACAGTGCTAGAGGTTGAGAATCGCTGTGTTAAAGCCTACTTATAATCTTGATTGTGAAAGGTTCTTTCTCTATTTGGAAAGGAAATTATTAGAGTGTTAATGACTAAGCAACATTTACTTGATACTTTTAGATTAAACGAGATTTCTTTTTGTTTTCTTTATTGCTTGGATGATTGGAAGAGCTCACAGTCCACCTGGTGTTAAGTGGTTACCAGAGCCCATAGACATCTGCAACGTAAATGCCGTCATTCATCTTGTGATATGAGTTCTAAGGTCTCAGTATAATTACAACGACTGTCCCACCCTTCAAACCGAAACGCATTACTGCTTCACGGCAGAAATAGGCAGAGCGGTGGTACCCACCCGCGCGGACTCACAAGGTCACAAGAGTTCCTACCACAACTAATTACGCAAATTATAATTTTGCGGGTTCGATTTTATAACACGATGTTATTCCTTCACCGTGGAAGTCAATCGTGAACATTTGTTGAGTACGTATTTCATTAGAAATATTGGTACCCGCCTGCGGGATTCGAACACCGGTGCATCGCTACATACGAATGCACCGGACGTCTTAGCCTTTAGGCCACGACAACTGCAAAATTGACCTTGAATTACAAAGATAAATATCGCGTCTTAAATGTCGCTTAAACCAAATCGCCTTTAACCCCTTGATATAATAATATATTTCCACGGCGATGTAGTCACAGATTCTAATTTGAAGTGTGGGGTAACCGTTAACATCAAAACACCCGATCCATTAACGGTGCTTTTAGGTACCTCAAGCACCGGTTACCGTCCTCGCTGAATCAGTCGCTTGCGACGAAGGGCTCGACGAGTAAATTAACCCATAGATACAGCCCACTGTGTTTCTCACTCTTTTCAGCGGGTCGCGTTTCCGATCCAGTGGCAGATTCTGCGAAGCACTGCTTTTGCTAGGTAGGGCCCGTGCTAGCAACACTCCCGGTTTGAGCCCCGAGAACTCACCTACACGCTAGGGTTAAGCTAAAATAGCTTCTCAAGGCTATCAGCATAGGTAGGCAAAAAAAGACGATTGTGAATTGTTAAGTTCATGTGTCGGTTACCACCATTTAATAACGGCTAAGACATTCACTCGTATCCCTAATAAAAAACAACTGGCGTCAATAATCTACTTCTTATACATTGATATGGCGCGACATCGTGAGACGCATCAAGTCTGCCCCTTCCAACACTACATGACGATCACGACCTCTCTATCAAGAGTGACACGATTGAGAAGAAAAAAAAAATACATTTACAGGGACATCACTGGCTGATTGTGTTCGTTAGTTATTTTGCTGTGGTCAAATATTATATGCAAACGAAATTGACTTTTACGAAACGATTACGAAATAATTGATCTGTGTCTTATAAACTTTTTAATCTATGACGGCCGTTTGTTTCGAAACTTATCTACTATTAAAGTATTCGAACGTGTCATAGACAAGGCCGAAAGTTGATCAACATTAAGCGCCAAATGTTTTAAGTTGTTCTTTGGCGATGTGGACGAATTCGATTCTTCACATCACTAGTTTTTTTTTTCTTGGGCCGGGGGCAGAACCCCCTGTAAGGTCCCTGCACTTAGGGGCGCGCGGAGTATGTGGGACTTGACGATCTGCAGATGTTGGGAGCAGACCGCGGGCCTAAGGATATTTCACATCACTAGCCTGCCCCAGCAGTTCACATTTTTACCACTTCAATTTTCTCCACCAACTTTACAAATGCTGACAAAGAAGGTGCTTTGCGTAATAATGTTTTAGCTATGCAAACTTGCGACCGCGAAATTTTCGTTCTATTTCCGAAACCTTTCTATTTGTAGTTTAATTTTAATAATTTCGATACGATAGGGTCCATTTTTCTTAAAATGACGCAGTTTTTACTTGTCACCTGTCAAATAGTGATAGCTGTCATGACAAATGGCGGGCTATTCAAAATTAATTGCCTGTGAATTATCTGTGGTCTCAACACCATAAATTAACGTTATTTCAGGGAGCTACTCAGTCGAACACATTGACAGGATATGCGTATCTCTGCGCGCGAAATACGGGAAGTGTGTCAAGATGGCTGGTCTATTGGGGCGACCGGATATGCTGTTCGTATTTGATGCTAACGAAGTCGAGAGGGTGTTTAGAGGAGAGGATGCCGCACCCCATCGGTGAGTCCATATTTCCTTTAAAAACTCCCAAAATCCTGAAAAAGACCTTATTGAATTGGTGGGCATTGTATTGAAGGTCCTTGGATATTCGTCATGTTTGAACTATTGTACCTAACTGATTTATTTAGGTACGATTTACAAATAATGTCTGTTTCTTTTCAGTCCTTCAATGCCTTCGCTGAATTACTACAAACACACGCTCCGAAAAGATTTCTTTAGCGCCGAGGAAAACTGCGCTGGAGTTATTGCTGTGTGAGACGAATTACACTATCTAATTAGCTAATGTTAATTTTACTATAATGATTTTCACTCCGAGACTATTCATTAAATGTCTTGACATAGTAGTCGAGAGAAATAGGCAGTAATCAGGCTTGTATACCCGATACGATGATTCAAAGACCAGTTCAGTTTTCTACGTAAGCTATTACAGATAGTAGATATTGCACCTTCCATTTTGAAAGTAGGAGCTGCGTTTTACATCACAATAGAGAATTCGACCTCATGTCTCAAGGTCAAAGCATTCACGATGTCTATGGGAGCTAAACATCCGAAAAAGGGAACGTGTTATGAGCCTCTTCGGACACACCATGTGGTTTCCCAGATATGAATTAGAGAAGCTCATAATTGTGGGTCACATAGAGGGCAAGCGCGCCGGGGCACAACACCAGCCAGATGGTCAGATCTAGTAAGAGAAGCACTTGGTGGTAGTCTGTACCGTGCAGTCCATGCCACCCATGATCGAACACAGTAGAAGAACGTCACATGTGGTCGCAATCCTCGGTAGTGAGGGAACGATGTAGAAGAAGAAGATGGGTCCCGTAAACTTACTTAAGCCCAAGCCTCAAGCAGGCCGTGCCATCTACACCTGTGCACGCCTACTATGTCCTACATCTACAATGAAAATAACTTCGGAGTAATTAATTCAGAAAGTAAGTTTATATGGCGGAACGACGTTACTCCCACATTAAAATATAATAAACATGTATACAAGTATCATACAATTTTTGAATCTTTGCGGGAGGTCAAGTACATACTAATAAGCTAAGGGTAAAAGGATCTTAATCCTCGTCCTCGAGCTCGTCCACCCATTTAAGCAATACAAAAAAATAAATGGGACCAAAATCTTAAGAGACCTTCGTTATTCAGCTGGGTTAGGAGCCTGGTGAAGAAACCGGTTGATATGAGGAGGTTTGTTGATGCAACTCGCGCGTCACCGAAGGTCTGTAATACCAAAAGTTTCTTTTGCTAAGATTGGTGGACAAGCTCACTGCCCATCCGGCGTCAAGTGGTCACCCGAGCCCATAGACGTCAACAAGGCAATTGCCGCTGCCCACCTAGAGATATAAGGTCTAAGGTCTCAGTTATTACAGTACAACGGCTGCCCTGCCCTTCAAAGGTATGATGATAAGCGAAATAGCTCGTAACGAAACCCCACTTCATACTACCACCCCGCGGTAGTAGCAATAATCTATATGGTGGTTATAGGCATGGAGACTCGTGGTCCGCGTTCAGGACGAAGGTGTCGAGAGCGGCGCTAAGTGCGGGCGCGGCTGCCCAGTACACGGCGCCAGTGGCCGAAGTGGCTGATTGTTTTGTGGAAAGGTTCGTGTGAACACTAATCACTTCCTGGTGAATCTGGAAAGGCCTCTGGACCACCAGTAATCCTACATTCATAAAAAAGCCCTTTTTTCTAATAAATATTTTTGATTACTTTGCGCATGGACCTTCCGGTCATAGTTCTCGTCGAACCCGTCGCTTGCGACGAAGGGCTCGACGAGTAAATTAACCCACAGACATAGCCCATTGAGTTTTTCGCCGGATCTTCTCAGGGGATCGCGTTTCCGATCCGGAGGTAGATTCTGCGAAGCATTGCTCTTGCTAGGGTTCGTGTTAGTAACGTCGTCAGATTTGAGTCCCGTGAGCTCACTTACTAGTTAAGGTTACACTGGAATAGCCTCTCAAGGCTCTCAGCTTAGGTAGAAAAAAAAGCATGGACCCCTCCCAGGTGAATAAGAAAAAAAAAACGAATCTCCTCCCCTCAACAAGGATAATACTTGATCCAATCCCTTGAATTACCTTGTGGGAGAAAATCAATATCTAAATTTTTTATTCAAGTAGACGCTCGTAGCTGCTTTTAAATCGTCATGATTTTGACACTGACAAGAATTGGCAAGAAATTCGAGATTAGATCTTTTGCAAATCAATAGGCATTTTAAATTATCTTCGACTAGGAGAAACAGGTTTCGTCTAATGTAACTCGTCTGGATTCTGTCCCCGGGTGAGGATTAGGTGTCGGGAGATAAAGAGATTTTGATGGGGTTTCGCCGGAAGTCTATTTGGAGGAAAAGCCCCTAATGTCTGCCCTGCGCAACTTTCTCAAGTTTTCTAAAGTCCTCATCTGAGTATTGACATTATTGAGAGTTGGTTATACGAAATGGCGAATTTTTTTTTTATGTTTTTTTTTATTGCCCTTGTTGGCAGACGAGCATACGGCCCACCTGATGGTGAGTGGTTACCGTCACCCATGGACTTCAGCAATGCCAGGGGCAGAGCTAAGCCGCTGCCTACCGTTATAACAGAATGTAACAGATTGTCGATAAAATGTTGGCTACCTTTAGCTCATAGTTAATTATTTTTCAGGATTCGTAAAATACGTGACGAGAACATGGAAACTCCTGAAGATTTTCTAAATGAAATACACAAGTGGTCTCTTGAATGTGAGCAGGTTTTTTTCTATACCAACAATGTAGTCGTTAAATATGATTGCGATATTTGAAGTCATCGTATCCTAAAGGGTTGGTGCACCCGCATTGTGCGATACGACTGTGCCTAAATGTATGCCTATACGAAATAATTCCACCAAAAATCATACCCGCAAAAATTGTAAATATGCGTAATAAGGAAAACAATTACCGGTGTCCTTAGAAGTATAAGTACAATATTACTGCTTTCGCCTTGTGTTTCATGGTGCTCAGGGGTATCTTGGTATTTATTGACTCCCATAACCACACCGGTGGCAAGACGTCTTGGGAGTCCGCACGGGTAGGGTACCACCACCCTACCTATTTTTTCCGTTAAGCAGTTTCGGTTTGAAGAGTGGGGCAGACGTTGTAACTATACTAAGACCTTAAAACTCATATTATATCAACTGGGACTGTTAAATCGTTAGTTTGTCGTTTATGAAATACAAATTTGGTAAACCAGTTTCGATTTTTTCACAGCATTAGGCCTCATAGCCCTAGACACCCGGCTGGGCTGCTTCGAAGCATGCGAAGGCTCCGAGAGTCAGCGCCTGATCGACGCCGTCAAGACGTTCTTCTTGTGTGTCGGGGAGTTGGAACTGAGGGCGCCGTGGTGGAGGCTCTACCCCACCGCCATGTTCCGACGATACGTCGCTGCCTTAGACACTATCCTCAGGTGAGGTTCTTTCGTGTTAAGATATAGCATGGGTGGATGACCTCACAGCCCACCAGGTGTTAAGTGGTTACTGGAGCCCATAGACATCTACAACGTAAATGTGCCATCCACTTTGAGCTATAAGGTCTAAGGTCTCAGTATAGTTACAAGGGCTGCCCCACCCTTCAAACCGAAACGCATGCATGCATACTGCTTCACGACAGAAATGGGCAGGGTAGTGGTACCTACCCGCGCGGACTCACAAGAGGTCCTACCACCAGTGATGTGAATGTCTCGTTTCAGCGTAACTCTTCGTCACGTGGATAAGGCATTGGAAGAGATCAAGTTGAACGGAAGCAGTAAGTCACTGCTGCAGGACTTGGTGACCGCCGCTGGAGCCAGGGTGGCCGCTGTGGCCGCTCTGGACATGTTCCTCGTCGGGATTGACACGGTAAAACACTAATGATGTCATCACCACGTATTTTGTCAATGGCGGCTACGGGGAAGCTATACTCGAAAACGAATGCCGATAGGTGCTGAAAGTTTTTAATACGATAAAGAAATATTCGCGTTCGGTAAATTGTGGTTTTCTAAATGTCTACAAATTGCGCGTAATGTAGTACAAACAAAACAATTAGCTTAAGCTAGGGGTCAATGCTCTACGGCTTCGTACATTGCGGGTCATGTGTGCAACGTGCATACGCGTTATATTCCGTTTTCGTAAAACTCAAAATTACTAATAAACTATTTATGCTTAGTAAATCAAATGTTTCTTATTTTATATTTGAGTTAAGGCATGACTTTTTCGTCATCAACGATTGAATATCCGAAATTGATGAAAATTTTTTAAATTCTGAATATTTACTCTAGATAAAACAACAATACAATTCATGTCCATAGACTCGAGCTATCGCTACCAGATGAATTTTGAGCTCTGCCCATAGAGAATTCGTTTCTTTTTAATTTTAGACGTCTACCGCAGTAGCATCCATATTGTATCAGCTATCTTCGCGGCCTCACGTCCAGGAGAAAATATATGAAGAAGCGACCAAGGCTCTACAAGGTCGTCCGATGTCGCCCGGGGACCTCAACCAGATGCCCTATCTGAAGGCTACCGTTAAGGAAGTCTTAAGGTTTGTTTTATGTAAATCAGAAGGTGCTAACGATTTTATAATCCATTGCTTCCTTAAAATAACCTTTTTGATTGCTTTCGAACTTCGCGAGTCTCTTTATATTTAATTACTAGCTGTAGCCGTCCGCTTCGCTTGGCATTTAAAATTAACATTATTATTTCTCACCCCCACAAAGATTCTCATGATTAACGCCCCCGCAACTGGTGTAGGGAGCCCAACACTCATATATATATTAGCCTATCCATTAAGTACATGTATTTTCTACATGGATACCAAGTTTCAAGTCAATCGGATGCATGATTCAGTAGTTATAACGGAACATCCGTAAAAACCACTGTAAATTTATATATTAGTATAGTTAAAACTAAAATTAAGGTCTTATTTAATTTATCTTTAAATATTGTCATTAAATTATTTCGGACGTTCTGAATACTATGCGTGGACTCGGACGAAAGACCATAATACAATCAATTGTTTTGAAACTTTGGCGGCTAGATACTCTATTAACAATATTATTTGGCGGGTTCTTACCACGACTATCGCATTTTTACTGGCGGTAGGGCGACGTGTGAGTCTCGTACGCACGGGTGGGAACCCCCACCCTGCCTATTTCTGCCGTGAAGCAGTAATGCGTTTCGGTTTGAAGGGCGGGGCAGCCGTTGTACTGTAAAATAAATAATAGTTTATAAAAACTACTAAATATATTTTAGAAATTTGATTTTAGAATTTTATTTGGCTTTTATAGAAAATCCAACTAAAAAATAGAAAATAAATTTTAATAAAATTGAATTAAAAATGATTTTATTGTAAAAAAGAGAAAAAATGATTTTATTGGAAAAAAAGCACTATTTTTATATAACTAGTCAGGTCATAAGTATTGTCACACAGTAAAAACTTTTCTTTTAGAATGCTGGCCACAAAAAAGTTTATTGAATTCGAATTTCGAATTGTTCATGAAAATAAAAATGTATACTTTTAGAATTTTACTCATTTTTAAATATGGAGTGGACGCTTAAAGAAGACCGTGTTGCAGTTATTGCGTTGCATCGTTGCGGTTACGCGCCAATTCAAATTTTTAACATACTGAAAAATTTTAATATAACCAAAAGATTCGTTTATCGTACCATCAAACGATACAATGAAGACTCTAGTGTAGATGACAGGTCAAGAAGTGGTCGCCCTCGGTCTGTTAGGACTCCAGCAGTGATAAAAGCTGTGAAGGCGCGAATTCAAAGAAATCCCAAACGTAAGCAGAAACTGTTGGCCCTTCAGATGGGGTTAAGCAGAACCACGGTGAAAAGGGTGTTAAATGAAGACTTAGGGCTTCGGGCATATCGAAGAAAAACAGGACATCGTTTGAATGCTCGTCTAATGGACCTGAGACTGAAGAGATGCCGCGCTTTGTTGAAGCGGTACGCGGGAAAAAAATATCGGGAAATTCTTTTTTCGGATGAAAAAATTTTTACCGTAGAAGAGAGCTACAACAAACAAAATGATAAGGTGTACGCACACAGTAGTGAAGAAGCGAGCAACCGTATTCCGCGTGTCCAACGAGGTCATTTTCCATCCTCGCTCATGGTATGGTTGGGAGTTTCTTATTGGGGCTTAACAGAGGTACATTTTTGTGAGAAAGGTGTAAAAACGAATGCAGTTGTGTATCAAAATACAGTCCTGACGAACCTTGTGGAACCTGTTTCTCATACCATGTTCAATAACAGGCACTGGGTATTCCAACAAGATTCGGCGCCAGCTCATAGAGCGAAGAGCACACAAGACTGGCTGGCGGCGCGTGAAATCGACTTCATCCGGCACGAAGACTGGCCCTCCTCCAGTCCAGATTTGAATCCGTTAGATTACAAGATATGGCAACACTTGGAGGAAAAGGCGTGCTCAAAGCCTCATCCCAATTTGGAGTCACTCAAGACATCCTTGATTAAGGCAGCCGCCGATATTGACATGGACCTCGTTCGTGCTGCGATAGACGACTGGCCGCGCAGATTGAAGGCCTGTATTCAAAATCACGGAGGTCATTTTGAATAAACTTTAGTGTCATAAGAATCTATGTTTTGTTAAGTTCATTTTGGTATATGAATGGTTACATAATGAATAAACTTGTTTCAATTATTTTACATTAAACATGTGACAGAATTTATGACCTGACTAGGTATATATTCTCGATTTATTTCTGTGGTTTCAATATTCAAATTAACATTTATGTCACATCTTTTAACATAACATATTATTAACCTCTTTCAAGATTTATGTCATAAATCTTAAAGGTTACATATATAAAAATTACATTAATCAGGGTCATTGGAAGAATTTTGTAGAGCAAATAATGGGTTGCCTGTAAAGTGAGACGATAGTTTTACGTGATAACGCCAGCAGCAGAACTATTCAAATTGCTAGCTCTGACGTCACGCGAGTAGAGAGATAAATGTGTCACAAGCTAACGCTTGGGCCGATCATGCCTCTCTATCGCTTGTTCCGCGCTCTCGCTTGCACGCTCAAGCTCAGGCGGAACGTGACACTTTTTCGTACGTGCACATAAAAAAATGTATGCATTTTTAATTTTGTTTTTTCGTTAAAGGATGTACCCTGTTGTGATTGGCAACGGGAGACAACTCACCAAAGACACGGTCATATGCGGTTACAACATACCCAAAGGGGTGAGTGTTTATTTATTTAATCTGTATAACTTAATGCACAAGAGTAAAGTGGCGGACATATTTTCTACGGGTCAAGCAAAGCTAGTGTATAGTACTATGGCAGCTACGTACCTTTATTGAAAAAATATTATATAAATTATACATATTATAAAAAAAAAGCACGCGCTATACAGCGCCCCTAGCTACAAACGTAGGCAAACATTCCAACTCTATACAACTCTATACTCTGTTTTGCGGTAGGCAGCGGCTTGGCTCTGCCCCTGGTATTGCTGAAGTCCATGGGCGACGGTAACCACTCACCATCAGGTGGGCCGTATGCTCGTCTGCCTACAAGACCAATAAAAAAATATACAAATTCGAGTTAACTTTTACACTATCGAGAACATTAAAAAACTCGCACTAAGCACATTGCAAAGTCGCAAAAATGTCGCTTATACCAAATAGCGATTCACATCTCGAAATAAACTTGTTGCAGACCCAAGTGATATTCCAACATTACGTGATGGGGAACAGCGAGGAGTACTTCAAGGACGCCTCCCAGTTCCGGCCGGAGCGTTGGCTGAAGCGGACGGCGCAGCGCCACCACGCCTTCGCCTCGCTGCCATTCGGCTACGGCAAACGCATGTGCTTGGGACGGAGATTCGCCGAGCTCGAAATACATACAGTCATTTGTAAGGTGAGAATAAAGAGCCATTGTTTTTGAAGCTTAGATCTCTACGGCGGGTAGCGGCAATCAAATATGTTTATTTTTTTATTGCTTAGAGGGGCGGACGAGCTCACACCGCTCCTGGTGTTCAGTGGTTATTAGAGCCCGTAGACATTTTTTTTTTGTTACAATTTTTCCTTATCAGAAAAGGCAAGGGGATCTAAGCCCATACAGCCTTGTCTGTTTTATATAATTTCTGAAATAAAATCCCATAGACATAATATACAATGTAAAATGCGCCACCCACCTTGAGATATGAGTTCATAAGTTATTAGGTCTCAGTATAGTTACAACGGCTGCTAGTTCAAACCGAAACGCATTACTGTTTCACGGCAGAAATAGGCAGGGTGGTTGTATCTACCCGTGCGGACTCAGAAGTCTATCTATGGACTCTTGTAATGTTAACTTAACCGACCGACCGTATACTGGTTTACCAATTGTTGCTGGTGGTAGAACGTCTTGTGAGAATACACGGGTAAGTATCACCGTCCTTGCTATATCTGCCGTGATGCAGTAATGCGTTTGAAGGGTGCGACAGCCGTTCTACCGTAAAAACTGAGACTTAGTACTCGTGTTTCAAAGTCGATTGTGGCTACGTTGTTGATGTCCATGGACTGTAATGACAACTTAACACCAGATATGCTTTTAGGTCGTCCACTCATCTAAGCTATAAAAGAAACTGTCATGGCTCATTCAAATATAGTCTCAATTGCATTAGACTTAATTTACTTAACGGAATCCATGATGGCTACTAATCATCGAGGACCCTAGAATGTAGACTTGTTTTTATGTGCAGTGCCAAATAAACCTTCAAATGTACCGGTTACGGTCCATTTTCGATCGTCCGATTTAATAGGTTGGGGAAAAAGTTTCTTCGCATTTTTTAAGAAAATTCAGAACTTTTTTTAATATAGTTTATTTACATTTAAATAAAGTACGTAGGTACTATTTTGTTCGATAACTTTTTGCCATCTTGTAGATAGGAACGTGATCCCATTGCTATAGAAATTTTGGGACTTCTGATCAAAATACCGCGACAATTAGTTTTGGCAGTCCTCTCGTGATATTAACCTGACACTGCCTAAAGAATTCCGAAGAGACCGAAACAGGTGGAAATCTGAAGGTGCAAGGTTAGGACTATACGGCGGATGCGTTAACACCTTCCAGCCAAGCTATCTTAATTTTTGCAGAGTAACGTTCCGACATATTTTCTCGTGCAGATGATCCAAGCCTTCAAGATCGAGTACCGCCGCGAGCCACTCGAGTATCACATCCACCCGATGTACACGCCAAACGGCCCGATCCGATTGAGGCTTGTCGAGCGGTGACGTCACCACGGCGTCCGACAGACGGCGGGCCGTGAACCATCCTCCGGACCGTACACAAGCTAACCACGAAACTAACGCGTCTTAAATAAATATATTTTTTTAAATAAAACTGCTTTTTATTCATGTATGACTTTACTCTTAAATAGTTATTTAATTGACTGGTGCATTAATGAGGATTGCGGCTTCGATTAACGCATCGGACGAACATTTGTGCGATGAACAAGCTCTTTTACTCTTTGTCCGGGTGTTTAGTATGTTTAAAAGTATGCAAGTGAGTCTCTGGTACACATAACACAGGGAATCGTAATTTGGAGCCGTATAGTCGGGCAGTGTTCACTCACACTCACGTTAACTCTCTCCAAATCGTCCAATCCCGTTTTTGCAGGATAGCCGTCGCAGCGCCTTGGTACGTGAGAAATGTCGATCTTCAAGACGACTTAATTCTAGAATCGTGGCGAGCCCGAGGGCGGCCCCGTACTGAGTATGGCCCTGCGCTGAGTACGGCCCTGCGTTTAGTACGGCCCTGCGCTGAGTACGGCCCTGCGCTGAGTACGGCCCTGCGCTGAGTACGGCCCTGCGTTTAGTACGGCCCTGCGCTGAGTACGGCCCTGCGCTCGAGCATTGGCTAGACTCTTCGACGGTACTCGCCAGTTCTTTTGTTCAGAGGAGTCCGGGTCTGACCTACACTGGTTGCTCCGCTATCAACTTGTATATATGTAAGCTTATCTTGAAAATGTAAGCGAGATTCTGGCATATTCTGTCAAATATCTTGTAACATGTCTAGTCGGATCCCCGGATTTACTCTTGTAGCTTTAAGCTTTCCAAGCACCGGTCATCATCAAGAGTTCGAAGTGCAACTTAATTCACAGACACAATTCACTGAGATCCGGATCTTCTCAGTGGGTCGCGATTTAGATCCGGTGGCTTATTCAGCGAAGCGCTGCTCTTACTAGGGCTAGAGTTAGCAAATTCTCTCAGGTTTAATCCGTGAACTCAAATACCCATTCGAGCGTAGCTGGAATATCTCCTTAGGCTACCAGGTAGGGATAAAACAAAGTCTAGACATTCATAGAATGTTTATTTAGATTGTCTCGAAANTGATCTTCTCAGTGGGTCGCGATTTAGATCCGGTGGCTTATTCAGCGAAGCGCTGCTCTTACTAGGGCTAGAGTTAGCAAATTCTCTCAGGTTTAATCCGTGAACTCAAATACCCATTCGAGCGTAGCTGGAATATCTCCTTAGGCTACCAGGTAGGGATAAAACAAAGTCTAGACATTCATAGAATGTTTATTTAGATTGTCTCGAAAAGCAATCGCGCTAACATTTAAAATGACATTATTAATATATTTATATTCATTCTCATCGTGGATAATCTCAACACCGATCATGATGTTTTGCCTCTGAATCGTAAGTTCGAGTTGTCCAAATTCGGTTCGTTAAATTAAATGTCAATAAAACAATAAGTCAGTTGTCAAATGTGACATTCCATTCATGACCGACGTTAAAATCAAATAACATAACAGATTTTCTATGTACGTAATTATGTGTACATTAAATATATTTTTTTTAAAGAGAATGTATATAAAATTATGATACAGAGTATATAAGTTCTAAATAATGAATGGCCACAAAGTTGTACAGATAAAAAAAAAATATTTACAATAAAAAAATATCACAAATGAGTATATTCGTTAATCAATGACAATAATAAATGTTTGAGATGTACATACAAGGATTTCATTAAAAATTGACAATGCAAAATAATATATACTTTGACTAGGAATTACATACATAATATATCTTTTGAGAATACTTTAATACAAGTCAGTATGGCACTATTTTATGTAACTATAAAATAGGCATTTTGAAGCGCCCGAAAAAATATAAAGCTAAAAGTAGGCAGTGACAGGTCGTTTACTAAATAAAATATTAAAAAAAAAAAAACGTAGCCATTTCGTACTTGTAAGAATGGTAACGTAACTGTATAAAAACATAATATCACATTAAAATAACAAATTTCATTTGTACACACGTTCTATATTAACAAAGGTTTTCGATTTTAGCAATAGGATTCGCGGTCTTTCTGTTTTCCTTCCTGCTGCATTTTAACAAGTAAATCATCAGTGTAACAGAGAGAACCATGAAAGCGGTTGCCCCTATTGCCAAAAATATCCCGTTGCTCGTATTCGCTACTGCTTCGCTAATACCACTGACGTCTCTGGCTGTTCTAGACCTAGGCTTGGTTCGTTCGGACTGGAAAAAATCTGAAAAAAAAATTAAACACAGATTAAATTATAAATAACGATGTCATTATTGATAAAAGCGGTTAAACTAATCTGTGCTCGGTGTTTTGAGGTTTCGTGTTTTTTATTGACATTTGAAGCAGCAATAACAGCACGTAATTTTATAACATAAAGGTTAGATATTTGGCTGTCGTTTAAATTGAAGACTGTCAGAACAGATTCTGGCATTAAGTTCATTAAACTTCAGTTAGAGTATTATTTTATGATGAACTAGTTTAGAAAATAGGTTTTACGATCTGTTGTCAGAGTTTAGAATGCGTGTCATTAGCATTATGAAGTCGGCGTGGCTTAAAGGATAAGGCGTCCGGTGCATTCGTATCTAACGATGCAACGGTGTACGTATCCCGCCGGCGGGTACCAATTTTTCTAATGAAATACGTATGTACCAAATGTTCACGATTGACTTCCACGGTGAAGGAAAAACATCGTGTAATAAAAATGAAACCCGCAAAATTATAATTTGCGTAATTACTGGTGGTAGGACCTCTTGAGTCCGCGCTGGTAGGTGCCACCACTCTGCCTATTTCTACCGTGAAGCAGTAATGCGTTTCGGTTTGAAGGGTGGGGCAGCCGTTGTAACCATACTGAGACCTTAAAACTTATATCTCAAGTTGGGTCTATGGGCTTTAGTAACCACTTAACACCTGATGGGCTGTGAGCTCGCCCAACCATCTAAGCAATATATTTTTTAAAGTTATAGTTTTTTGTAAAATATTTTTTTAAAAAATCCTTTAGCTTTTTCTGCAATTTATGTGAAAATAAGCACTAACAAGGATAACTTAATAACGATAATAGTCGAAATTCGGTAGCATTGTCTTGTATTTTACACGCGCTCGTCCCGTTTTAGTAAATTTATAATATTATAGTTGCCGGCATTTTGTCTCTAACACATTATCAAAGAGGTTAAGTATTGCAAAGTTCGCGAAACATTGTCGTATACGTCGTATTTGGTACATAATAAAGATGAAATGGTATAGTGAAAGAGTGACGCTCTTTACCTGGGCCAAGAAGAGAATCATCCGATAATTCGTTAGCAGATATTCTTTTGTCGGCATTTATTTCGTTTTCATCAGGGAATGGTGGTAGATACGTGGATGGTGGATTTGTGCTGCTTGGGGCGAATGGTTGAGGACATTTTGGATCTTTTGAACCTGGATAACAGGAACTAGGTGTCGGAATCGTCGGGTTTGGACATCTGGGGTCTGAACTGCCTGGATAGCATCTGGGTCCTTCAGGAGTGGTGGGTTTAGGACAACGTGGGTCAGTTGATCCCGGGAAACATCTTGGCGGAGTTGGTGTTGTGGGTTGAGGGCAGCGAGGGTCCGAGCTTCCTGGGTAGCATCTGGGTGCCTCAGGAGTGGTGGGTTTCGGACAACGTGGGTCACTCGAACCAGGGAAGCATCTTGGGGGAGCTGGTGTTGTGGGCTGAGGACAGCGAGGGTCCGAGCTTCCTGGGTAGCATCTGGGTGCTTCAGGAGTGGTAGGTTTAGGACAACGTGGGTCTGTCGAGCCTGGGAAACATTTTGGAGGAGCTGGTGTTGTGGGCTGAGGACAGCGAGGGTCGGAGCTTCCTGGGTAGCACCTAGGTGCTTCAGGCGTGGTGGGTTTGGGACACCGTGGGTCTGTCGATCCCGGGAAACACCTTGGCGGAGCTGGTGTTGTGGGCTGAGGACAGCGAGGGTCGGAGCTTCCTGGGTAGCATCTAGGTGCCTCAGGGGTGGTGGGTTTGGGACACCGTGGGTCTGTCGATCCCGGGAAACACCTTGGTGGTGCTGGTGTTGTGGGCTGAGGACAGCGAGGGTCGGAGCTTCCTGGGTAGCATCTGGGTGCCTCAGGAGTAGTGGGTTTGGGGCAACGCGGGTCATTACTGCCAGGATAGCATCTCAGTGGTGACGATGTCGTTGGTTGAGGACACCTTGGGTCTGTCGAACCAGGGTAGCATTTGATTTGTGGAGGCGCTGTGGCTGTTTGACATCCAGGCTCTCTTGATCCCGGATAACATCTATCCGGTCTGATTGTTGTTGACACTTCCTTGATAATTCCATCGCAGCTCGCATCGCAACTGCTTGTGCAGAGCTAGAAAATTTGAATTTTAAAATGTTAGGTACACTTTTCTCCACAATGAATGGAAAATGAATTTTCATCCAACATCAGATATGAAAAAAATTAAAAAAAATTAAGCTCGTACCTCTACATTGCACGTTAGGTAAACTTGATCAGTCTCGGGGAAGCGGAAAGCGCTCACTTTGCTGTATGCAATTAAAGTGGCTCCACTCTTGCCTGTGTTTGTTGACTTCTGCCACAAATCAATCAGTTTCTTCTTCCTTGAAACACAAAATAAAAAAATAAACATTAGAAGCTTAAGTCAGTGCATTACAGAGAGAGAAAAAACTGAGCTGATCTCTATCGAATAATGCAATTAATTAAATTAATCCTATAATAATGATTCAATGTGATCATTAATACTATAATATATTTTTTTTAATTTTCGTTATTTCTTATTTTGAACCAGTGTTTAACAGGTATTTCTTAATAATAATAATAATAATGATAATAATCTAAAATTCCACAATAATCTAATTACCAATCACGTTGCTTAATATTGTATGTGCCTAATCATTTGTATACTAGTAGTAAATGAGGTCTTGGATCATTTCAGCCCCAATTGACGTACATACATATGTTTAATGAAGTTTGCAGGAATTTCCAAATATAAAATCAGACAGTATCCCTGTTTGTAGTGTTCAATATTTACCAGCATAATGTAATAGCCAGTATTTATAGTCATTTATAATGTACTCAAGAATGTAAGTAGCATACATACTTTGGGCATCCTTGTTTGTCTGTAAGTTGAATCTTATTTGTTTTGGGGCTGTCATAGTTGTCACTATCATAGGCCCAGCAGTCGTGTATCTTCAGATTGAACTGGTTCCTTACGTCTTTCAGGTACACCAGGATAGTCAGATATTCGCCTATCTTGATTGAATCTTTCAACGGGGTTGTCTGCAAACAAAAATGAAAAAAAAATACATTGTAATAGCTAATGTCAATAATGATTTCGATCAGTACATGTTATGGCTTTCAAAGCCATGATAATACTTCTAGTATGGTTTTACTGTTTGCTGTCAAAATTAAAGCTATGATTGCTATATTGAATCCTGGTTGTAGGGTGACTTGAGATTTCAAGGGAGAGGCAGCCATTTTTCTATAAAACTGAGACCTAAATCTCATGCTGTCTGGTGGCATTTAAACTGTTGATGTCCATTGACTCCGGTAACCACTACAACCACCAAGTATTAGACATCTAGGCGATACTCGTCCACCAATCTAAGTCTTAAAAAAGGACAAGTCATTCTATTACATTTTCCTACAATTGGTACTTTTGTCTCAAGATGGGTGACGGTACTAAAGTAATAACGGCAGTTTCAGTAGACTATTAAAAATATACTAGCATACTATACTCACATTAGGGAACACTCCCTTCTGTATATCCATCCAGCACTCGACACCTCCAGCTGGTCCTTGGACAGCAACTATATCTAACATGTCAACCATAAATGGCTTCAGTTTTAGAGTATGTTCATCTCTAACTGCTAAAGCTCCAGCACCTGCACTGCCATCTGATCCAGCTGATACTTCTAGGGTTGTTCGAACACATGATATCTGGGAATATTATTTTAAATTTTTAGAATGGGAGCATTTTCTATGTTATACTGTGCACCTTGTTGGGTGTTCACTGATTCCTAATTCATAAACCAAGTTTGAAATTATTATATTTTCCTTGAATGTGTCAATTCTCCTCCAGGTGAATGGGACCCTATTAATAAGTTTAATATGAATGTATTTCACTCTTCAAATCACTTTTCAGTAATTTGTTAGAGTTATAATTATTTCTGTTAAGATAGTAAAATGTGTGATTGATAATTTACTGGATTTTATGTATAATATGTAGAAGTTCTTCTAATAGATAAGTCAATTTCTGGGTTCTAAAGCAAGTTCCTTAGCAAAATTGTAATCATAGAAAATTCAAATTGATTAAATATGGGACAGAAACAGGTTGCATTTTAGGTAATATTTTTCAAGGTAGTTTAATGAGAATACTCTTTAGTTGATCAAAAATCAATCTGACCTTTCGGGCAAAGTCAGCTGAGCCCTGGATGAAGTCATCAGCCTGGAAAACGAGAACATTGTCGATGGTGCCGCAAGCATTGCAGAGAGGTCTAGAGCCGCAACCATTTAAGGGAACTCGGAATGAGTACCTAGATTGGCTGCCTCCCAGTGACACGTATCTGCAAAATTATTAATAGAAATTAATATGTAGTACAATCAATAAGAAAAATCCTTTACTATTTTTTTAAATTGAATTGTGTGTGTCTAATGATTTCAATTCAATTATAATTATTGAACGGTAACTATATCATCACCGAAACACAAAGTTTTATATTCATTTTATGTGTTACGTTAACTTTTTAGTTTGTATTGACTTATGATGAAAACAGAAGACTATTTCTAAATATTTTTTTCATAAACTAGAGCTTGTCAATGGCTAATAAACAAAACACACAAAAAAAAAAACAGCTGAATAACAGATAGGTAATGACTTTTATTTTTGCTTAATTACAGATATTTAAACATCTTCTCATTTTTTAAGACATGAACTAAAAGTGTCAGTAGCACCCTAATATGGTTTTCTTATTCTTCGGATCGAAACTCTAACACTTAACAATTGGAAATAAGACATAATTGAGGGATGTCTTTAGTTTGGATAGCATTTCATTTTTACTGATGAAAATTGATGAGCAATTTCTATGCATTTTCCATTTCCTGTATCCTTTGGTGACTATTAGCTATCCACAAAATGTATACTGGGTGTTTACATATAGAAGATAGAAAGTAGAACTTACTTGCAATTAGGGTCGCTCAAATATCCTTTACTATAAATAATTCCATCATATATATCCGAGAATTCTACTGTCACATCGATATAATCATTTGAACATTGAACGTCTATGTCTGGTGACAATGGCGAGTCGGCTGCTCTTGAGCCTCTGACAAAGGTGACACCTTCCTCAGAGCTCTCGTAGAATGGAGACAGGGCATTTTCAGGAGAGAGTTGTAGGTTCAACTCAGCCGCTGTGAGGCTGTTGAACTCGTCTGAAACAGCTGTAGCGAGCGACAGCTGTGAAAATTTACATATTAATTAAATTAGATTATATTTTTAATTTTTACGTAGTTTTTAATTTAAGTTTGTAGTTATATCTATAAATTGAGGTATTTAATCTGTAAATTGTTTTTCGTTTCTTGCCTAAAACTGCGATACTATGTATAGGTTATATATTTTTTTGTATGGAAACTATCGACATCTTGTAGCGTATGCCCCTAAGCCTAAATGTTGTTAAAGATAAGACATTTAATTATTGTGTACCTAAACACAGAAAAATAAAAATTAATAAATCATACAAGTCTTTATTTGTTATAGACAAATTGATTAAATTTTATCAATTAGTGTTTTCTGAAAATTTGCAAAATCCTTCAAAATAAATTATAGGATAAGTAGTATGTTACTGCCATCTACAGTAGGAATGAGAAACTAATCGAAGCGAAGCCATCTAGTGGCTCACGCCCGTAAACATTTCTCAAGTTGCTTTTCTAATACTAGTTTATGTGTATTAAGTTGCACCCCACTTGATGGAGATAGAACACCCTGGCCCCAGAACATCAACGATCTCAAAGGCAGAGTCATATCGGTGTCTACCTCAGGACTACATTATTATTTTTGAAATTCCATCCGAGAATTAAAATTAAAATTAAACTCCATTTTTTGAAGAAGCAAGTTACCAAAATAACTAATAGGTACCTATTGTGGGCATTTGTGGGGGAAGGGAGGAATATAAAATGCATGACGTTCAAGAAAGCCAGAACCGCCATCTCTGGTACGGCACCATCAATTTAAATTTTTTACGCTTTTGAAACATGGAGGATATAATAATACCTAGTCAGGTCATAAGTATTGTCACACAGTAAAAACTTTTCTTTTAGAATGCTGGCCACAAAAAAGTTTATTGAATTCGAATTTCGAATTGTTCATGAAAATAAAAATGTATACTTTTAGAATTTTTACTAATTTTTAAATATGGAGTGGACGCTTAAAGAAGACCGTGTTGCAGTTATTGCGTTGCATCGTTGCGGTTACGCGCCAATTCAATTTTTTAACATACTGAAAATTTTTAATATAACCAAAAGATTCGTTTATCGTACCATCAAACGATATAATGAAGACTCTAGTGTAGATGACAGGTCAAGAAGTGGTCGCCCTCGGTCTGTTAGGACTCCAGCAGTGATAAAAGCTGTGAAGGCGCGAATTCAAAGAAATCCCAAACGTAAGCAGAAACTGTTGGCCCTTCAGATGGGGTTAAGCAGAACCACGGTGAAAAGGGTGTTAAATGAAGACTTAGGGCTTCGGGCATATCGAAGAAAAACAGGACATCGTTTGAATGCTCGTCTAATGGACCTGAGACTGAAGAGATGCCGCGCTTTGTTGAAGCGGTACGCGGGAAAAAAATATCGGGAAATTCTTTTTTCGGATGAAAAAATTTTTACCGTAGAAGAGAGCTACAACAAACAAAATGATAAGGTGTACGCACACAGTAGTGAAGAAGCGAGCAACCGTATTCCGCGTGTCCAACGAGGTCATTTTCCATCCTCGCTCATGGTATGGTTGGGAGTTTCTTATTGGGGCTTAACAGAGGTACATTTTTGTGAGAAAGGTGTAAAAACGAATGCAGTTGTGTATCAAAATACAGTCCTGACGAACCTTGTGGAACCTGTTTCTCATACCATGTTCAATAACAGGCACTGGGTATTCCAACAAGATTCGGCGCCAGCTCATAGAGCGAAGAGCACACAAGACTGGCTGGCGGCGCGTGAAATCGACTTCATCCGGCACGAAGACTGGCCCTCCTCCAGTCCAGATTTGAATCCGTTAGATTACAAGATATGGCAACACTTGGAGGAAAAGGCGTGCTCAAAGCCTCATCCCAATTTGGAGTCACTCAAGACATCCTTGATTAAGGCAGCCGCCGATATTGACATGGACCTCGTTCGTGCTGCGATAGACGACTGGCCGCGCAGATTGAAGGCCTGTATTCAAAATCACGGAGGTCATTTTGAATAAACTTTAGTGTCATAAGAATCTATGTTTTGTTAAGTTCATTTTGGTATATGAATGGTTACATAATGAATAAACTTGTTTCAATTATTTTACATTAAACATGTGACAGAATTTATGACCTGACTAGGTATGTAGGTACCTATACCATAGAGTTAGTTTAACTCCATGACCTATACCTACTTAATAACGACCACATTAATTGAACTTAATTTAAAATGTTTTGATCACCAATTTCTATTTTATTTTAATTATTTTGCAGTTTGGGAACAAAAACAGGATAAATAAGTTCTGTCTATAATAATATAGTGATATTATTTCGCATTTTAGTCAGTAGCGCAGTCGGGATTTCTATTTTATTTTCTTTTATGTATTGTGTGTTGGTTCAATTTCTCGCATTGAAGCTTATGGAATATGAACATAAATATATATTGTTAGTTGAAATCAGCTCTTGGTTCATTGTTCTCACTGGGCAAATGAAATGAGTACCTACCTACTCTTTTAATCTTAAACAAGTTGGTTCTAGTTATAGCGTTGTCTGCAGATATAGGTACGTAATAATAAAGCATTAGGTACAGGCAATAGGTGCATACCTACGGTAAGTCAATTATGTTTATTATGTCTCGAACTTGAATGATTCACTCTGTCGCTCGCGTATCACGATAGTCAGACAGATAAATTTGTCAGATAGGCGCTTATTGCTAATTTGCAGCCTATCAAATCATATTAGCGTGGTGCAATGTTCGTTCCCTGAGATCCGAATTAATTGTAATGTTATTTATCACTGTGATCTCTAATTTATTGTTCAAAATACAAAACAATGTGCAATGTATGTACCGCTCTCACGTTTGTTTCCTCATAATTTAAAAAAAAGGTTGATGTTATGAAAACATTTTTGTTAGAATGTTGTTTTACAAGATGTTAATAAACGATTTAAATTTCAATATCTTTTCATGAATACGGCCACGACACGGTTGCCGTGCTGTTTATGTCTGAGCTATTATTAAACTTAGTAGTGATCTGTACCGGCTGCCAAATAAAGCTAAACAGCTATTGATACCTTAAAATTCAGACAGGCGTCAAGGTGACTAGCGCCGTTCATCTTTGTGATGAATTTGGGTTCCTATCACAGCTTCAAGTCCGCCATGAGTTTATCTACCCGTCAAAAGGAATTAAATAATCCAATTTTTTTTTATTGCCCTTGTAGGCAGACGAATACGGCCCACCTGATGGTGAATGGTTACCGTCGCCCATGGACTTCATCAATTCCAGGGGCAGAGCCATGCCGCTGGCTACTATTAAGTACTCTCCACAAGCCTCGTTTGAAGAAGGATATGTCATAGCACTCGGGAAACACCGTGGAGCGGAACTCATTCCAAAGCCGGATGGTACGGGGCAAAAAATCACTGGAATCGCACTGTGGATGAACGCATTGGTGGCGGGCGGTGCGATGGTAAAAACAAGATGATGGTATCCTCAGAGCACTTAATCCAAATAAAACCTCGATATTAAATTAGCGCCTCTTTGGTCATTGGTTTGCAACTTCTTCAGTTTAATCCCCGAATAAAATGTCGTGGGAAAGTGTTATCTAGTAATTTCTTTAACTAGTTTCACAATTGAGACTTATATCTGAAATCTCGAGGTGGGCGACCACGCTGTAACTTGGGTGTCGATATCACTTAACATCACGTGGGCCGTGATGTCCTACACTAAGCAAGACCAATAAAAGAAAAACTTGATCACGCATCAGTCGTCAGCTGTTATCATCACGTTATCATTAATCAATTCAAAATAAACACATTACTTTTCTTATAGGTAAGAATGCTATTTGAGCGGTTTGATAAAATCTGTCCAGACGTAAGAGGAAACATTATTTTATATGAATATTCATAGATATTTGTTAATCTATTGTCTTATTTGAATAGTATTTACATTAGTCAATATGAAACGAGGTAAAATGCAAATTTCATAATTGTGCTCAGTAATCGATTTTAAAGAATAAAGTTTTTATACATTCTGATGTTGGCAACAGGGAACTCGTTGAAGATTTAAATGGGCATCTAATTGGCAGTTTGATCTTTAACCTTTCGTCAGTTAAATCACTTTACGCAGTAACTCTTTGTTACATTAACCTTTTAAAATAAGCGAGGTATGTTGTGCCAAATTACAAATCGTTTCTAATTTTCAACGTTTAGGACTGTAGTGTAACAATTGTAGTCAGTATTTCTATTTCCTAACCTCGGCAATTGGTTCACCTACAATATAACTTAAACTTCAACCTCAAATTATAAGTGATGCTGAAATTCAATCCGTGGTTTATATGTTTTGTTACCTATATGGTTTGTCTGTACAACTATTTGGCGGGAACGCGATTAGAGAAATTGTGCAGTTTTGTTGATTTTGATAATTTAGCGTTTTTTCAGATTTAAATGTGTATTAACGGTTATTTATTAAATTTTTAGCATCTGTAAAAGGGCATGAATGTCGGAAAATGAAACAAAGATGGCGGACGTAGCTTCTCAGGTTCTCTCAAAACGTGCACAAAAATAGTCTCCGTAATTTCATTTAATTTTATCCTAATTGATTAAAATTCATTAAAGTCTCAAATTAATCAGCTTCATATAATTTCGCTTTATATAATTACATAGTATGTGTTTAAATTGAAGATTTATATAAACTCGACATTGGCAGCAATGGCGGCGCGTGAAGCAAATTGCCATACTTGAATAAAGGAAGAGTAACCCATCGTGGCCTACAGTGTCTGAATTAGCGCTTATTCTATGTCTATTAAATAAAGCTAAACTTTTTAATTAAACTAGCCATCTGTCAGACGAAGACATCATATTACTATCAGAGATACTTTTTTATTTGTCTGTCTCAAAAAATCTCAGCTGTACTCAATAACAAACAATGTCATTAATGATTTATGTATTAAGTGGTTTATTACCTGCACGAGTGCAATCAGCGTCGCTATGCGCATGACAACCGCTTCATGGGGACCTGGGAAAGAAAAAAAGGTTAAGGTTAGTTCATTGACTGCTCTGTCGGCAATGTTTAATTCTAAGTGTTGAATGTGGCTTAAAAACGCTTGATACAGGTACCAAATTTGATAATAAAATTCTGTTTTCTGCCAATGGCAAGTTAACGTATTTTTAAACATAGATTTGACCTTTTGACTCCATCGAACACCAATGCTGTAAGTTCACGGTCCACACCCGGAGATACCAAGTCAAAATGCGGAACTTATTTGTTCGTTAACTTATGATTTTTCAAGTGAATGAATCTTGACATGTATTTATGATAATAATTTATTTTACATGTAAACAATTTGAATGTTATGTTTTGTTTATATTATTTCTTCTTAATTGCGCAGAGAAATAATAATAACGTACCTACAATTTAAATGTTATTTAGAAAAGGCGAGTTAATTTTTGTTTTTCCTTGAGAATTATTTATAATTACATACGCTATAAATGTAACAGATATTACATACTAATTCTTATATTGTTCTTTAAAGAAACCAAGAAGAGTGTAAGCAAACCATTCATTTTTTTTTAAATAGCAGCGTTTATTTTACTAAACAGGGTTGACCGCAACCTCAACGCCTATGACGTCATTTGAGCGTAAATAGAAGACGAGTAAACCATAGATAGACTATACGCTAATGCACATATTACATCGTCCGGTTTGATCGGTGAAGCTTGAAACTATAATATGTTAGGATTATTCGATTTTATTTAGTGACTTACACATAAATCATAATTTATTCACATAAATATTGATTGAATGATGATCGTTTTAGTTTAATTGAGATCTATCATAAATAGTTTTTAGATTGTTTTTTTTAATTATAGTCAGTTCACATTTTTTTATTTACAAAATAATTAATTGTAAACATCTCTGATCCAACGGGCCCAAGACAAGGTTTTGTTTGCGTTATGAACTCTGCAAGAATATTAGAGTACATACCAAAAGTGTGCAACAAAAACAGTGTTTGGTTTTCAGCCTTTCAAGGCTATTTAGTCTAAGCGACATTTCGGTTGATACGCGACATTTATCATTGTATTTAAGAGGTCTCTTTTACTTAATATTAGCTCAACAATTCGATGTTTTAAATTGAACTTCAAATAAGCTTTCAAATAATAGCTGAAGAAGTTTTGTTTTTTGTTATGATATTTTTTCCAAATTTTAAACTTCAAATCGTTCTCTTGTAAAGTTTTAAAAATGTCTCTTAAACCAGATAGCTTTCCCCCCCTCGCAAGATACTCCGAGCGGAATTCGAAATCGGACCCCCGGTGCTGTATTTACATCATGGTCATCGTGTGACACACACGCTACATTATCATGAGAATTTAACAACTAATTTTTGGTAGGTACCACATTATTGTAAAGATGATTTAACTTACTGGTGGTAGGACCTCTTGTGAGTCCGCGCGGGTAGGCACTGACGGCAGGTGAAGCAGGTTTCGGTTTGAAGGTTAGGGCAGCCGTTGTAACTATACTTGAGGTCTTAGAACTTATATCTCAAGATGGGTGGCGCATTTACGTCGTAGATGTCTATGGGCTCCAGTAACCACTTAACACCAGGTGAGCTGTGAGCTCATCCACCCATTAAAGCAATATAAAAAAGAAGTTAAATGTCCGCATCTGTTGTACAATTGATTCGTATGTGATGTAATGGCAGCGGGATGGCCAAACCAGTTGGACCGGTCAGGACGCGGACCCTGACACACAAATAAATGAACCGATTTTACGGTACAAGTGAGATATCAAGACCTTCAAAAGGTATTAAGCCACCGAACCCGCCTAGTTTTGCCGTGTAGCTGTCGTGTGTTCCATGATGTTTTTTTTATTCCTACCTAAGCTGATGGTCTTGAGAGACCATATCAGCGTCACCGGGCGAGTAGGTGAGCTCACGGGGCTCAAACCTGACGTTGTTGCTAACACGAACCCTGGCAAGAGCCGTGTTTCGCGGAATCTAGCACCGAATCGGAAACGCGACCCACTGAGAAGATCCGGAAAGAAACTCAGTGGGTTGTGTCTGAGGGTTAGTTTACTCGTCGAGCCCTTCATCGCAAGTGACGGGTTCGACGAGGACGATGACCGGTGCTTGAGGTACCTAAAAGCACCGTTAGTGGATCGGGAGGATCCGAAATGACGTGTTTGGGGCGACGTCGACTGCTTTCCGTTCTTATTTAAGATTATTAACGTCAGAACATAGAGGTAATGAGAAAAAACTTAATTAAATATTCTTAAGCCCATAAATATAGTTTTACCCAACATATCACCTTACAATGTTAGCATAATTAATGAGTATACTTAATATCGATCTGACGTGAGAGAATTTAATGGTCTCATACTGTTACAATGAGAATTGCAAAAAGCATTTGCATTGTCGCGTAAATCAGATTAATCTTCGTTTGTATGTAGCGTTTCGTATGTAGATTTACCTGATTCACATACTCGGGTGATCGGATGTTGTCGAGAATTCGGACGACCAGGCGCGAATTTTCAAATATTAAAAAATGTAAGTGAAGTATATATATATATATATATAATCTGAATCTCGGAAACGGCTCCAACGATTTTCATAAAATTTAGTATACAGGGGATTTCGGGGGCGATAAATCGATCTAGCTACGATTTATTTTCAGAAAATGTTGTTTTATTCGTGTTTTCAATAATCAACTTTATCGATAATCAACTTTATGACTCTTCCCGACATCTATTGGCGAATAATAATACTATTTTTCTTAATTGAGGGCAACTAACCGCTTTAAAGACACAACAAAATGGCGTTATCAAAAAAAAAATCGATCATCGTCTAGTAAAATATGAATAGTAAAAAATGAAGGGTGGGGCAGCCGTTGTAACTATACTGAGATCTTAGAACTTATATCTCAAGGTGGGTCGCGCATTTACGTTGTAGATGTCCATGGGCTCCAGTAACCACTTAGCACCAGGTGGGCTGGGATCTCGTCCACCCATCTAAGCAATAAAAAAAAAAAGATTAAAAAAATGTGACCCAATTCCTATATTCGCGGCTAAAGATTTATTTATTTGCGAATCTAATTGGTACATCGGTAGATACACATTGATAGATTCTTTTCGTCACGTAGTATCTGGCTGAGGGATAAGCCTTCCCCTCGTTGTCTTCTTCTCATTGTCAAGCTGTTAAATCTTTGAATTCGTTTTCAACGTAGTTCTCCCAGGCAGGCAAAGGCTTGGCTTTGCTCTTGGCATTTCTGACTTCCATCATCAACCACCATTGGGATACATAGGAAACTTCCTATTCAAAGCACCAAGTCAGGCCGTCGTACCTATTCCTGTCGCGAAGCAATCGTAAGAGTCACGCAGTTACTCCAAGCTGGTTCCTCGTTTATTGATGGTGTAGTTATTGATCTTGGTTATTATACCACGTCGTTTGGGTTTGAGTACCGTTGATTTCCAATGACCCAGTAACAAACATAAGAACTCGTGTTTGAGTCCCGCTGATTTCTCGTAATCGAGTAGCAAACGTACAAACTTCCTTCTTTAATATATATATGGTATTTAAAAATAAAAACATTGGGTAAATTTGTTTCTTAAGCGGCAATATCCTTAAACGGCGTAATGGCATATCCAAAACGAATACGAACACAAAGCCGATAATAATCATCATTAACATCGTTCCCAACAATAAATCTGAATTCGTAACTTCTGAATTTTTAAGTATACTCGTATCGACTCCTCATATCGCATTCGGTATCGATACGATACTCGATTGAACGTTATGTAACTGATATTTATCATCGATTTATGACTTTGCACGACTGTTTTGCGGTTCTTGCCTAAAGGTTTTTTTTTGGACGATTATTAAACCAATTTAAGTTTGTTTAATCATATACCGGAGCATCAATGGAAATAGCTGTGATATATTAGATTGGAAACGTCAGGTAAATTACCTGGGTGGAATCGGAGAGGGCGCTGCGATCGTAATTGTTTATGGGTAGACTTGTTATTGACTCGTTCAATAGACAATGACTTAAGTCCAGTGTCAGTCTGTGGATGACCTGTGACATTTGAAGAGTTGGGGACTTTTTAGGGACGTTTGCCGCTAGGGGCGCTGTTCCAACTGCATATAAATTTGAGTTGACTTTTACGCTATCGAGAATGTTAAAAAAATATTATTAAGTACAAGGGTGGCGATAATTAGATGGCACATAGTGGCCCCGCAACTTGTAAGGTGTGCGTAGGTAATCCGATATTATATTAACTGACCAGACCTAATATACTGAGGACAGTCCATTAAATCGAATTTGACATTTCTCACTATGCAGTGACTTTGCACGCACGTGCAAGTGATCGAAAAACATTATCACAACGGGCTTAATTTTCTGAGCGTCGACTTCACATTATACTGCATTGTAAGATTAAATGCATCTCTGAAAATGCGCTCGATAAATTCGAAGTTTGACTTTCAAGTAACATAGTTGAAAATGTCGCACGTTCACAGCGACATTGCGATGCGTCCTCTCCGTGTCCGTTTAATGCCACAAATCCAAAAGGACAGTGATTGTTTACTAGCAGCTATTTCAGAATCACAATTTGTATTGATTTACTAAAGTTCGAATTCGTATATTTAAATTAATTAAAAAAAAAAAAGGAAGTAATGCATTGACTGATCATCTTCACCTTCATAATCAAAATAGTCAGATTCGAAGACCTTTATCACATCTGGTGAAACTTGAATTTTTTCAAGTGTTTCTGACAAGGCGTTTTCATTGAGCGACTTGGGATGCAAGGCAGCTTAATTTGTACCAGAAAAAAAGCTTTCATTCGTGACAATCGATTGTTACAGAAAAATGTAAGTATAGATAAAAGTTTTTTTTTTAATTAAATAGTAAAATAAATTAAAAGGTACACAAGCTAATAATGTTATTAGCATGAAATTAACTCTCTCTGTCAGTTACGTTTTGATACCTAATCTATTAAATTGAT